ATAATTTTCCTATTATGCTTGGTCTAATAGGTAATAGGTAGGCAGAAGCTCTTCCAAAACTATAGATGTATGGTGCTTAAAGTTAGTATCAAAGACTATGATCAGTGGGTTTCCAATTTGAAAAGCATGAGGACCACATAATTCCACCCTACAAAATTTAAAAGTCCAATTAAAGTAGCTTAACATGCTGAGTTACTATTTATGCCTAAATTTTCATTCTGTGATTCAAGGAGACATGCAAGGTTCTCCTCTTCTTGCCCCAATATACAGGGGACATAAGGTCTCTTATCTACCCAGATCTAGATCATGTGGTTAGCCAGAGTCAGCCACCTGCCAGAGTACAGCCACAAGGTGTTCAAGGCAGTGATAGAAATGGGAGAGGGCCCAAGAGCTAAATCCAAACTCTTATAGCTCCATAAGTACACAAAGGCACAGATTTACACAGACACAGAGAGACAGCTCCCAAGGTTCCCTAACCACATGACACTGGTCACAGTTCAATAATTTTCAAATCCTGTCTTCATTATTTCCAATATTAACAAAAATAAAAGAAAAAAAAAGCATGTAACATCAACAAAATTATCAAGAAAGCCATAGTTAATTGATTTGGATGCAAAAAAAGAAAAATTACATCGAAAGTACTATTTCCTGAAGCCTCGATGAAAGCTAGAAATTTACTGATTTTAGATGCATTCTTGTCAAAATAAGAAGGGTAGGAGCTTAAAATACATACAATTTTTTTTTTAATTTTTTTTTTCAACGTTTATTTATTTTTGGGACAGAGAGAGACAGAGCATGAACGGGGGAGGGGCAGAGAGAGAGGGAGACACAGAATTGGAAACAGGCTCCAGGCTCTGAGCCATCAGCCCAGAGCCTGACGCAGGGCTCGAACTCACGGACCGCAAGATCGTGACCTGGCTGAAGTCGGACGCTTAACCGACTGCGCCACCCAGGCGCCCCCATACAATTTTTTTAAGCAAACCCATTTGTAACTTCTTTTTATATTTTCATTTCAGAAATCATTTCCTGAACAATGTTCCAGAAGATGTGTTACACAAGATACCGAGATTTCATAGATCTATTGGACACTGTGCTCAGGATTCTTGAAATCTAATGCCAAGCATACCTGTAACAGTCAAGCATGAAGCTATGATACAAAAAAACGCCATGTTCTTTTATGCATCTGAATAGGAAATTTACAAACTCTCGTCTTTTATGATCCACAAAATTTTAAGCATAGTTTCATTAGTTTCTGAAACATAATTTGTTTTAAAGAGATGAAATTTTACCTGTGTTACACAAGGTTGCAGGCAGTGGGAAAAGTGGTCTTTGTACAAACTGATGAAGAGGCTGTTTTGTCATGGTATACAGATTCATCATAGGACAGAATCTACATTTAAAAACAAACAAAAATGACATTTCAAGAGATAATCTTTTAAGCTCAGTTTCTACTTCTTATACACACACACATATATATATATAAAAAATGAAAATAACAACAAAGCTGAATTTTCATTCTCCATCCACATTATTTCCCCTTCTTTAGGCAAGCAATATCTGCAAACAATTTAAAAACATGAGCTCAAATGGAAATTTATAGTCTTGATAACTGAGTGTACACAGGATTGTGCAATATCCAATGCAAGAAACAGAAATGCAACTATATTTGTGATTTATAACCTGGATTCCCAGACTCTTAGCTATGCATGAAGGATGCAAAGAACTACCAATTGCTTTTTTCCTTCTTTTCAAACTTTAAAAAAACTAGGTGACAGAGTCACATGGTTCAAAATTCAAAGGGAACAAAAGTAAATACTTTGAAGTCTCCCTCCCTTTTCTGTCTCTACCATCATGCTTTCCTGGAGAGAACCAATACTACCTGTTCTGAAAGGTATCTCAATACTTCAAAAAGTCTAACAGAAAGTGTACTATTCTCCTCCAAACCGCTAAAGAAGGTAATAATCCATATATGCTTTTATTTTTTTTAAGTTTATCTATTTATTTTGAAAGAGAGAGAGGGAGAGAGAGAGAGAGAGAGGGAGAGAATCCAAAGCAGGCTCCAGCTTTCATCACGGAGCCCGATGTGGGGCTCGATCCCACAAACTGTGAGATCATGACCTGAGCCAAAATCAAGAGTCGGAAGCTTAACACACTGAGCCACCCAGGCTCCCCTATATATATATGCTTTTAGACTGGAAACCTCTTAAGCCAGTGTTTGTAACTTTGGTTATTTCTCTGTGATAGAGAAGTACCAATTGGTTATTTTTTCATGGTTTTAACAAATTAAAAATGAAGGGAGAAGGGAAAACAAATATTACCAAAAAAGGAAAAAAAAAAAACTTCAGTAAAAATTTTTAGAAATCTGATGCAAGTTACTTTAAAATCCAGTTTACTTTAGAATACTATTGCTATCAGGATGCCTGGGTGGCTCAGTTGGTTAAGCATCCGACTTGGGCTCAGGTCATGATCTTGCAATCTGTGGGTTCAAGCCCCACATCAGGCTCTGTGCTGACAGCTCAGAGCCTGGAGCCTGCTTCAGATTCTGTCTCCCTCTCTCTCTGCCTCTCCCCCACTCACACTCTGTCTCTCAGAAATGAATAAACATTAAAAAAAAATTTTTTTTAAAGAATACTATTGTTTTCTTCACAGTTTTCATTTCACAGCAGTTGCTAAAGAATTTTAAATATATACATGATCACTTAAAAGTATTTTCTCTGATTATTTTTATCTGCAAACTCATTAAGGGAAGGGGTGTCTCCATTTCTGTGCCCCTCAGCAGCAAGCATGACAGATGGCCTCAGTTCTTCATTTCTAAAATGAAATATTCACAGCTACCTCAAAGACTGAGCCATAAAAGGATCCAGATAATCCATGTAAAGTGCATACATCAGTGCCTAGCCTTGTTGTTAGAGTTCAGTAAATGTTGGCTACCACTATTATTATGTGATAGGTTCTCAATTAATTACTGAATGAGGTTTAAGGCTTGGGGTGAAAACATTTTTATCCATAGCTCACTGCCTAAATCTTGACTATGCTGGAATATGGGAATACACACTGAAGACCGGTATTCTTATCCCTTAGGCCCACAGAAAAGGCAACAGAATGGATGGATACTGTGACACAGATGGGTTTAAAGTGACAAACAGTAAAGGAGAGGGGGGGCCTCGGTGGCTCAGTCGGTTGAGCCACCAACTACTCTTGATTTGGGCTCAGGTCATGATCTCAAGGTTCAGGAGATGGAGCCCAGTGCCAGCCTCTGCACTGGCAGCATGAAGCCTGCCTGGGATTCTCTCTCCCTCTCTCTGTCCCTCCCCTGCTCATATATTCACTCTCTCAATCTCTCTCTCTCTCTAAATAAATAAACTTAAAAAAAAATAGTAAAGGTAAGTTCAATTCTTCCAGTAAGACATCTACCAAAACAGCACAAGGGGATAGTAGGTGACTAACAAATCTTTCAGCAAACTTAATGCTTTTAAATTTCAAGGACATCGTTAGCACTAAAATCCCTAACATTCACTGGGTGAAACCCTGTAGGCCCTTTTGTCCTTTTGTTCCAGTGGCAAAATCAGGGTTCGACACCTACTTATCAACCCTTTTCATCTAACCAACGTTGACAGATGTCACTGGGAGGCCAAACTCAAAGGCGGGATGCACAAGAGGGGAAAAAACAAGGCAACAGAGTGGCTCTAGGTGATACGGGGGAAATCTAGGGGTCTAGATTTTCATCAGAGTTCCATCACTTAGAAGCTATATGACCTCATACAGGTCACGTCCCCTTTTCTGGGCCTACTGAGAAAATGAGGAATTGAGGTATTTTCTCCCATTCTGTAGATATTTTCATTTGTATTTAAAAAGCAGAGGGACTGCACATGATGGAAAGGCTGGAGGGGACCACACTGATTTTTAAAATATCTCCTCCGTGGGGTCTCTGCGGGCCTCCCCACCGCAGGGATTCAGGCGCCGGATCTCAGCGCCTGGGACCGGGCGCCGCAGATCCCGCCCGAATTGAGGGCGCAGCGCCGCCTCACCGATAGGCGCCCACCTCGGGGCGAGACCCCCAACTGAAGCGACGGGGGCGCACCCGAAAGCTCGGTAAGGGGCACTTCTGCCCACCCCGCTGCGGGGGCAGCGGCCACTCCGCTGGTTAACTAAGCCCGGCGGCACGCCTGTGCGGAGCTCCTGGCTCGTCACCTACCGCCTACACAGCCTTGCGGCTGCAGCCGCAGCTCCCCAACCCAGGCGGGCCGCCGCTGCCATCTTAGTCCGAGTGCGCAGCAAGTGGGGCAGCTCTCGCCGCTTCGCCTACTGGCGGAAGCCCCGCGCAGGCGCAGGCCGGCCAGGAGCGGGACAGGCTCCGTGGAGAGCGTACCCTGCCGGCGGCGGGCGGTGCTGCTGCGGGTGGGACGGGAACCTTGCTCCCGGCTCCCGGCAACCATTGCCCACCTACACAGTAAGCCTGGACCAGGGCTGGGAGAAGCCCCGGAGACGCTTGCGCAGGCGCCCTAGGTAAGGCACGACTCAGCACACATGCGCGCAGCAGTGCTTGGCTTTTCCTTCTTGATGGGAGCTTCTGCCGAAGGATGCGTGCACCGCAGTGCTGCTCTCCAACCGTAAACCTGCCCATTGCCATTAGGATCCTGCTCACCCTCGAGTCCCAGCTCAATGACTGCGTCAAAAGACTCTCTGGAGCATCCCCTCGAAAGAGTTGTCACCTTCAGCGAGATGCCTGCTCTTCTCCCTTGGGGCTCTGGTTGGTTCTCTTATCCTTCTGTTAGGCTGGGCTTATAGACCCACTCATCTTGGACCAGTCCCCACAGGACTCACCTCCTGCAGCTCTGCCCTTTGCTTTATAAACATGAGTATTTGACTAGCTTCCAGAGCCAAGTGCAAAAGCCTATTAACTACTCTTCCAGAACTTTTCTTGAGTATTTCGCTTTCTCCAGGACAACGGTTCTCAAGATGTAGACCGGGGGGGGGGGGGGGAAACAACAGATGGGAACACATTGGAAATGCAAATTAGCAGGCCGCGCCATAAACCCACTGAATCACAGTCTCTGGAGGTGGGGTCCAGTCTCTGTTTTAATACGACCTTCCGCTAAAATTTGAGAGCCACTGCTCTAGAAGGTAAGCACAGTACTGGTTTCTGGACCAGAAACAACACACCTATTGTTGGACAGATTGAAGCCACAGGCACAATAACCTTTGTGGTTTCTATGGCCCAGAGAAGTGTCCAAGAGGGTGGGTGGGGCTGCAGGCCTGCGTTAGTTGTGGGTTTGGACACCGAGCAGGCTGTGCTTCCTTGGTGCAGTTTACATTCTGGAGGCCACAGGTTGGCTTCCAACTGCTGGTTCTTCGCGGAACCTTCATTCTAGACCTCAGTGCAGTCCAAGGCTTGCCCCCTTACTCTCTTTTAGATCCTGACTGAAGTGTGACTTTTCCACTCAGGAACAGGCCCTGGGTAGGGGCCAGTCTTTCTTCCCTATCTTTAATTTCCTTCCCAAAAAGAAAACTCCTGCCTTGCTCCAAATCTGCCTCCAGCCACCACTCTCTCTTTTCTTCCCTTCAGAGCCAAATGGCATAAAAGAGTTGTCTACACTTTTAATCTCTAGTTTTTCACCTCTCACTCAAACCACTGAAACCAGTTTCTGTGTCCCAATATTCCCCCACTCCCACCCTGGCTGCTCTACTCAAGACTGCTCACAACATCCATGTTGCTCTACCTGAAAAATCCTTCTCAGTTATTACCTTTCTTGACCCCTGGAACATCGAATGTTGAAGATTTCTCCCGCCTTTTAATAATCTCTTTCCTTGGCAACACAACTGCCAATTTTTCCTACAACTTTAATGGTTACTCCTCTGTCTCCCCCTGCAAGGTTTCATCTGCCAGCCTCTTAAATGTTGGTGCTTTTTGGGACCTCCTTCCAGGCACTTTTCTTTCCCCATTCTTTTGTGATTGAAAAACTTCAGGAAGTTTATACCAGTTAGCATTTTTTTGTGTGTTTTTTTAAATTACTTTATTTTTTAATTTACACCAAGTTAGTTAGCATATAGTGCAACAATGATTTCAGGAGTAGATTCCTTGATGCGCCTTACCCATGTAGCCCATCCTCGCTCCCACAACCCCTCCGGTAACCCTCTGTTTATTCTCCATATTTAAGAGTGTCTTATGTTTTGTCCCCCTCCCTGTTTTTATATTTTTTTGCTTCCCTTCCCTTATGTTTATCTGTTTTGTATCTTAAATTCCTCATATGAGTGAAGTCATATGATATTTGTCTTTCTCTGACTAATTTCACTTAGCATAATACCCTCTAGTCAGTTAGCATTTCAATCAGCCATCAGAATATGTGTTTCTTGCCCTTACAAAAACTGGATAAAAAAAAAAAAACAACCTTTGCTGAGTATTGATTATTTACATTAATGATGTGGTGAAAAATAAAAGTTTAGAAACTGCATACAGTATGATCCCATTTATGTAAAATTATTTGTGTACATATTTGCATAGAGGTGCCAGCTTCCTCTCTTTTTCCCTTTCCCTGGCTGTTTTCAGTTCCTTAATATGTCAAATTATTTCCCACCTCAGTGCCTTTGCACAAATTGCTCCCTCTGTGGGGAATGCCTCCCTCCTCCCACCTCTATCTTTTCTTTTCCTTTTCCCCTCCTTTTTTTTTTTTTTTTTTTTTTTTTTTTTGAATACCTTGTATTAATTCCCCCTGGTCTGAATATAAGGTAGGGATATTTTCCTTAAATATCCTACCTTAGGTGGCCTTTCCTGATGCTTCTTTTTGTCCCCATTGAAATAGTCTCCTCTGTTTATTCTCTCTCAACACACAGTCTCCTTTTCCTTCATAGCGCATTATCACAACTTAAAATCATGAATTTGGGTATTGATTTTTCTAATGATACTTTTCCCTGCTACACCCTCAACTTTAAGAATGGCATGTCTGTCTCTTTACTCTTGTACCCCAGCTCCTAGTATAAAAGCTGGCACATAGTAGGTGGTCAAAAAAAGAACTAGTTGAGTGAATGAATGTCGTCACCTGAACCCTTTGTCAAATCCAGTACACACATTCAATCTGTGTGATGACTGTGCAGACAGCAGAAAGAGAGGGCCTGGCCTCATTCACCCCTTACCTGCTACTGTGCCAAAGCAGGGTGTAGCATCTATGGAGAGGATTGTAACCACTGGCATATGAAACTGGGGACAGCAGCCAGGTGGACAACTCAGGAACAGATGTGAAACAGCCTTCATTTTTTTCCCCAAATATCCTAGAGGGAGGGTGACTCTTTTAGGAAAAAGTAAAACTACTTACTTGAGATGTCTGTATCTATTTATGCTACCCTTTTTCCTCTCCCACTGTCTTTACACCACACATGTACACACACACACACACACACACACATTCATTCACCATGATAATCAACAACTGATATTTTTCCTAATACCATTTCAATAAGATGTCAATTCTGTTTTATTTTTTTTTTTAATTTTTTTTTTCAACGTTTATTTATTTTTGGGACAGAGAGAGACAGAGCATGAACGGGGGAGGGGCAGAGAGAGAGGGAGACACAGAATCGGAAACAGGCTCCAGGCTCTGAGCCATCAGCCCAGAGCCCGACGCGGGGCTCGAACTCCCGGACCGCGAGATCGTGACCTGGCTGAAGTCGGACGCTTAACCGACTGCGCCACCCAGGCGCCCCAATAAGATGTCAATTCTGTTTTAATTATTCCCTGGGAAGATTCCCAGGCCATGTGACATGGGCCAAAAAGTCATTTATTTACTCATTCGCCATTTATTCAATAACTATTTTTTAAGGACGAAACTTTCCATTTCGATGAGATGAATGGAGCTAAGGAGTATAATGCTAAGTGAGATAAGACAGTCAGAGAAAGACAAATACCATATGATTTCATTCATATGTGGAATTTAAGAAACAAAAACAAAGAGAATAAAAAGAGACAAATGAGACAGACTGTTAATTATAGAGAACAAACTGATGGTTACCACAGATAGGAGGGAAGGATGACTTAAATAAGTGATGGGGATTAAGGAGTACACTTGTCATGATGAGCACAGGGTTATGTATGGAGTGTTGAATCATTATATTGTATACCTGAAACTAATATAACACTATGTTAACTGGAATTAAAATAAAAACTTTTGAAAATGATTAAAAAATAACTTTTTAAAGTGTTTATTTTTTGAGAGAGACAGAGCATGAGTGGGGGAGGGGCAGAGAGAGAGAGAGAGAGAGAGAGAGACAGAATCTGAAACAGGCTCTAGGTTCTGAGCTGTCAGCACAGAGACTGACACGGGGCCCAAACTCAAGGACCTGATCGTGACCTGAGCTGAAGCTGGACGCTTCACCACTGAACCACCCAGGTGACCCCAAAATAACTATTTTTTAAATAATTAATTTATTTTTAAAATTCAAGTACATTTAACATATATTAGTTTCAGTGTACAATGTAGTGATTCAACAGTTTTATACATCAGTGTTCATTATGATAGACATACTCTTCATCCCCTTCACCTATTTCCCCCATCCCCTCACCCGCCTGTCCTCTGGCAACCAGCAGTTTGTTCTCCGTATTTAAGAGCCTATTTTTTGTTTTTCTCTTTTTCCCTTGTTCATTTGTTTTCTTTCAATAACTATTGAATGCTTTCTCAATTATGGTCCCAGGCTCTATGCTTTGTGCTAGGGATTGAGGCAGATGATGCTAGATGCCTTCCAATAATCACTTTCCCCTTCTTCTTTACTAGCCAACACTGACTTTACTCAGGTGGCAATGTGTCCAATCTAATAATGATAATGATGGTAACAATAATAATAATAATTCTAACCTCTCTTGCAACTAGGGCTTGTCATGTGGCCCAGTTCCATCAAATGAGACAAGTGTGGAAGACTGTCAGAAATGTCTGAAGAGGTTTTGCTTTCCTGCTGTAGGTGCTGGCCCTTCCTCCTGCTTGCACGGGGTGGGAATACTGGAGTCAAGGCAGCCACGCTTCAGCCATGACATCCCTGAGGAAGTGAACCAACAACTACCGGCAACCACCATCTTCCAGACTTCTTGTCGCATGAGAAAAAAATCGGCCACAATTTTGCCGATGCCACTGGTTAGTCAGGTTTCCTGTTACTTACAAATGATCAAAATCCTTGGTTCGAGGCTACAAAGATGAGCAAAACAAATCCTGGTCTCAGGGAACTCCTAGAAGGGAGACGCTGTAAATCAATGAAGGCAGCCCTGGGGAACAAGGGCTACCCAAGGGCTATGTCGAGGGCCCACTGGTGGCAGGCAAGAGAAGTGAATGACGATTTCTGGGTGAGACGACGGCAGGAGGAAGGCTTCACACAAGAGGAACTCATTGTGTTGGGTGTTTAAAGAGAAATAAGACTAAGGTGCTCCTGCCATGGACGGCAGTGCCAGTGCAGACCTGGACCACCAGCACTGAGTCCCGGTTCTGCTGCTCACACTGGTCTCACTAGACTGTGAACCGCACACAGGCGCTCCAAGTTTATCTTCTTCTTGATTCTGTTCCCAGTGCCTGGCATTTAAGAGAGGCTCAAAATATACTTGCTGAATTGAAACCTCTCTGAAGTCCCATAGTCACCTTCTACCATATTTTATTTCATTAATCTGCTAATTATTTAAAGTCATTTACTCCCCCTAGAAAGTATACCACACTAGGGTGCCTTCCTTGGTAACTGAGATATCTCATCTGCCTAGAACAACACCTGGTGCACAGTACGTACTCAACAAATACCTGTTGAGTGAATGAGCCCTAACTTTACTGATCTGCAAAATGTGGATAACAATATCTATCAAAAATGGTCAAGTGGATTAGAGAAAAATGCATGTCGAGTGTCTTGCACCGAGCTTGTCATATGGGTAGGTCTAACAACGCTGTTGTCTTCTCCTGTAAAACTTTGAGACCCACTCCTGACACGTCTATAAGCAACAACACCTGAGGTCAGCAGCCTAGTCTGTTCTTCCTAGAACAGGTTTGAGCATTTCTGGGGGCCAATGTGGCAAGTTCCAGCAGATAATGTTTACCTGAGGCATTGGAAAGCCTGCCAGGAAAGAATTTGTCCTGGGAAAGAATTCCTCTCTGGGAAAAAGTCAGTATTCAAAAGTTTGATTCATGGGGCACCTGGGTGGCTCAGTTCGTTAAGCATTTGACTCTTAATTTTGGCTCAGGTCATGGTCTCATGCTTCGTGGGATCAGGCCCTGCATTCTTTCTCTCCCTCTCTCTCTCTCTCTCTCTCTCTCTGCCCATCCCCACTAGTGCTCTCTCTCTCTCTCTCTCTCTCTCTGTGTCTCTTTCTCTCTTAAAGTAAATAAGTAAACAAACATTTTTTTAAAAGTGTGATTCAAGATCAGTGAACCTTGCTGTGCAGACGGTCTTTGGTCTAACACCCATGGACGCTGCCTGAGGCCCAGGAAGGGGGCTTGAAACCAAGGTGACACGCAAAATAAGAGAGCTGCTTTGTTAAAACATCCAAGACTGTGTCCAAGACTGTGTGAGCCTTGAGCCCTGGGTCATGCCGCTTTATTAGCAGGCTGCAGCAGCCCGTCTGGACAGGAGTAGTGGGAGGATTCTACATGGTGGGTGCCTTGGCCTTCTGGGGCTGATTTGGCAGCAAGTTGCAGAGCAGTTGAAGTAAATATGTAAATGATAGCAGAACAGAATCTGTTCCAAGCACATGTGATCCCAGGAATAGCTGGAAAGAGATGCAGGTCATTAGAGTTTCTACAGAGATGGTAGGGACAGAGAAATATTGTAATGTGGCCCTATTTTTACCCAGAGATTGATTAAAGTTTCAAGAAATGTTGAAGAGGTAACAACAGAGATGATGCCATCTCCCCCTCCTCTTCCTCACACCCCTCCTCCTCCTTCTTCTTTTTGGAGATAATACCTTCTAATTATCACTCTAATTACATATAGCTCTCTCTACTCTCTGGTTTGTTGCTTAAGAGAAAAAAAATCTGTTCCTTTTTCTTAAAAATTCTAGAATACACGTTATTTTTTTATCTTGAGAGAGTGGGGAAGGAGCAAAGAGAGAAAGAGAGAATCACAAGCAGGCTTCTCTCACAAACCGTGAGATCGTGACCTGAACCACTGGTATAAACATTTTAAAAGCAAAAGTCGTACTACTTTCGAATTTCCCCTTATCACTATACAAGCCTTGGAATTCCTCTGCTATTTTATGCTCAAAGGCTTATACCAACAGCCACCAAAACCTGGGCTTCCTTTATCATACTGCACCTGTCTGCTTTCATCTCCAAAGCCAGGAAAGTGTCCTTAGATTTGAGATCTGTGAGGAAGAGAAGACATGTGGGTCATTTGGGTTTGTTGCTGTGTATATGTAGCCATAGGAGCTTGGCTTCTGGCCATGCAGGGTGTGCCCTGTATAATAACCCTAGGGGCCATGGTAACATAGGCCTCAATGTGAATCACACCCCCTGAAGTTGTGCACCATAATACCCTGTGTCACAGGATATGGTCTGGGACTTTTCCTGTTGTTTTAGAGTTTTGGCTAAAGCCTCAAAGTCAAGGACATTGGATAATAAGGGCTCCAACATTTTAAAGTGATTAGAGACAACCCTGTGGGCTTCCTAAAAGATGCAGAAAAATGGTGACCACCCCCCCAACTCATCCTGGCAGGCCAACTGAAAATCATTTTATTTATTTATTTATTTATTTATTTATTTATTTATTTAAAGCATTTTTTTTTGGTAATGTTTTATTTATTTTTGAGAGAGAGTGGGGCGGGGAGGGGGAGAGAGAAAGGAGACACAGAATCTGAAGCAGGCTTTAGGCTCTGAGTGGTCAGCACAGAGCCCAATGTGGAGCTCAAACTCACAAACCATGAGATCATGATCTGAGCCGAAGTCGGATGCTTAACTGACCGAGCCACCCAGATGCCCCTGAAAATCATATTTTAAGGCCCCAGGGTGCCCACAAGGAGTGTGGTATCTCATCTACTGGCCGCAGGCTTCCTGAACTATAGGAACTCTGGGTCTGCCTCTCCAGTTACTTGGGTAAAACATGGTGAGGGAGTCTTTGGAGTATCCCCAGGAGTTTGGGGGGTGAAGCCTAAAGATAGGAGGCTATCTGGAGCCTCCCACAATGGCACAGCAAAGAGGGAAGGAATAGGGGACCAGCTTGCACTCCTGACATTTGGAGGGACAAGGATGCAGGACTTTCCATGGAACAAGGAGATGCTGCAGAAGTGAGCCAGGTTGAACTCCTGCTCACGAGGGTCCCCAGGAGGGCAAGGGGCTCCAGCTTGCTGCATGGGTTATACCACCAGTGGCAGAAGGTGAGGGGAGTGGGTTGCAAGAGTGAGTGAAAGCAGGGCTCAGCAAACTCATCTGTAAAGGGCCAGAGAGGATATATTTTAGTCTTCCTAACCATATAGTGTCTACCACAACCACCCAACCCTGCCATTATAGAGCAAAAGCGGGCATGAGCAATACATAAATATATGGGTATAACTGTGTCCCAATACAACTTTATTTACGGACACTGCCATTTTCGTTTCATCTAATTTCATGTCATGAAATATTACTGATTTTTTTCCAGACATCAAAAAATGGAAAAACCATGCTTCTCTGCTGCTCAGATTTGCCCCTTAGGCCATTATCTGCCAACGCCCTGAGCTAGAGGGTGTGTCACCCTGGAAAGGAACAGGGCAGAGAGCCACGGGCAGCCCCAGCCAAGGAAAAGGATGCTGCACCTTGATCCCAAAGCCCCTCCTTCTGCCCAGCCATAGGAGGCAGGTGTAGAAAGAGGAAGCTGGCTTCTGAGCCCAACCTAGGGAAAGGAAGGAAGCTCTCTGGTAGACGGAAAATGGAAGGTGTAAAGACTTAGCTAGATTTCTTACCACTGGAGAGGACTGTGGGAAATACGATCATGTTTAAAGCTGAAGGAGACCAGAAAGTGACGGGACCTGCAGGCATTTCATCAAGGAGGTGGGAAGATCACAAGGACCATAGTTCAGCCCTTTCCTGAACTCTTACCTTATCTTACTGAACTGAGTCTATTCAAAACAATGGTTGCAGATATTTTAACAATTCCCTTTACTAGCCACTCCGAACTTGACCCCTTGTGTCATCGTTCTTAGCAGATTTAAATAAATTTAAAATTTTTTATTTTTGAGAGAGAGAAACAGAGAGTAAGCAGGGGAGGGGCAGAGACAGAGGGAGACAGAATCCGAAGCAGGCTCCAGGCTCTGAGCTGTCAGCAGAGCCTGACCCGGGGCTTCAACCCATGAACTACGAGGATCATGACCTGAGCTGAAGTCAGACACTTAACCAACTGAGCCACCCAGGTTCCCCACCCAATTTATTATTTTTTAAGTAAACTTTTTATTCTTTTTTTTTTTTACTGTCCTAAATTGTTTATTAGGTAAGAATTTTACAAACATTACTTACATTAACGGTAATGGTGGACCTGGAGAGTACTGTGTCTTCTCCATGTCACACGGTGAGAACCACCAAGAACATGGTGGAACTTGGGGCCCTTTTCAAGGCCACATTCTTTTTTTTTTTTTTTTTAACATTTATTCATTTTTGAGAAACAGAGAGAGAGAGAGAATGTGAGCAGGGGAGGGGCAGAGAGAGAGGGAGACACAGAATCCAAAGGAGGCTCCAGGCTCCGAGCTGTCAGCACAGAGCCCGACGCAGGGCTCGGACCCACGAACTGCAAGATCACGACCTGAGCCGAAGTCAGACACTCAACCAACTGAGCCACTCAGGCGCCCCTCCAAGGGCACATTCTTATGGCCAGGACATGGCAGCCCTCACAGCTCCCTGTGCTTGTGGACTGGTTTGGTGATTCACTGGGCATCAGGATTTTTTCTGATAGCTTTACGGAATGGATCGATGAGAATGACCTCAAAGAATCTGTACGTGGAATCTTCACCAACCTGGGACAAATTCAAGACTCTCAGAGCCCCACAGTGGCATCTAGCTCACTCCTCTGTGACAGACTGAAGGCTTCAGGCAAACTTCAGCTGGTCAACACCGTGATGGACAGGCTTGCCATGGGTGGCGCCCTGAGGAACTGGGCATCTGCGGCCACCGCGTTGCACACGAATATGATATGTGACATAACCTTGCTTGGCCTTGTACCCCAGTCTGTGAGCTTTATTGAGCCGGGCTGGGGGGGGGGGGGCTGTCAGCACAGAGAGCTGGCATTACTGCCAGCAGCACACTCTGAGAAGAAAACGCATCGTGTGGGACTGCTTCTTCCTCCATAGCTCCTGGATGTCAATCTTGGCTTGCCTTTGAGCTGATTGCTGCCAGCAGAGAGAAAGCGGTAAACTTTTTATCCCAAAGTCCTATTAGATTTACAGAAAAGTTGCAAAGACAGTACAAATTGTTTCTATCTGTCCCTTAATCGGCTTCCCCTGTTGATAGCGTCTTACGTTACAATTATACATTTGCCAAAAGTAAGGAACCAGTATTACTAATTATTATAACTAAGGAACCAACATTAACAAAACTCCTCCATGGTTTATTTGGATTTCACTACTTTTTCTTTAATTCTTTTTCTGTTCCAGGATCCTATCCAGATATATTACAT